TTCCATTTTGGTTGAAGGCAGGTGAACCTACCTGCTGCATTTTTATAGTGCTTAAACCTGATTGGTGTGTTTACAATTTAGCAATCATGTGTTTGTGCACCTGGTGGCTGTGTTTAACAGATTGGCTCATAGGTGTGGTAATTTGACAGTCAGTGCTTTGGAATTGCAAGGAAGTGACATCATGATATACTTGTGTGTCTGATGTACACAAGTGTGTTTAGTGTTTTGCAAATCACTGTGTGTAATGTTTTGCAAATAGTGTGAAGCTGACAATGTGCTTACAGTTGTGCAAATCTAGCCTTGTGTTTTGCTCCTTGAGTGTAAGGTTTTGCTAATTGTTGGAAAAGTTTAATGTTAGTGTGTAAGCAATCGTAAAAAACTGTAAAATATAAAAGCTGGGTTGGTGTCCTTTTTCTCTCAAAATACAGTATTTCTTATTGGTATTATGTGAAAATGTAACATTTCTTTACTATGGTGCACAGATAATATATTATAAACATGTCTGAAGAAAAAACTCCTGCTAGGCCCCAGCGAGGATCGAACTCGCGACCCCTGGTTTACAAGACCAGTGCTCTAACCACTGAGCTATGGAGCCAGTCGCGACACCAAGCGTGGTTAAAATATCTGACAATGTGCTTACAGTTGTGCAAATCTAGCCTTGTGTTTTGCTCCTTGAGTGTAAGGTTTTGCTAATTGTTGGAAAAGTTTAATGTTAGTGTGTAAGCAATCGTAAAAAACTGTAAAATATAAAAGCTGGGTTGGTGTCCTTTTTCTCTCAAAATACAGTATTTCTTATTGGTATTATGTGAAAATGTAACATTTCTTTACTATGGTGCACAGATAATATATTATAAACATGTCTGAAGAAAAAACTCCTGCTAGGCCCCAGCGAGGATCGAACTCGCGACCCCTGGTTTACAAGACCAGTGCTCTAACCACTGAGCTATGGAGCCAGTCGCGACACTGAGCGTGGTTAAAATACTTAATCGTAGTTTCCAGCACTTCCTTTTGCGTTATGTACCAAAAAAGAATGTAACAATTAACTTTTTTATATATAAAACTTTTTTGTATACATTTTTTAAAATATAAAATATAAGACTTAATTGAGATCGACCCCCAAGGTTAAGGTATTCAAGTAAAATATTAAAAAAGAAAAGATTTTATGAACCAGCCAACCTAAAATTATGTTTTTACGGATTGTTAGTCGATGGTTTCGTCGCCACGAATAGCCTTTAAGTAATACCCGGATGGAATTTTTTGTCCACTAGAGGGCGACGTTCACCAACAAAAGTTCTGCAGTAGTATAAAGTATTTTTGTTGTCTAAACCAGTGGTTCCCAACCCTGGTCCTGGAGACACCCCAGCACTGCACGTTTTGCATGTCTCCTTAATCAAACACACCTGATTCAGATCATCAGCTCATTAGTAGAGACTCCAAGACCTGAAATTGGTGTGTCAGAGAAAAGAGACATGCAAAATGTGCAGTGTTGGGGTGCCTCAAGGACCAGGGTTGGGAACCACTGGTTTAAACCACGTCAAGCTCGGCTCCACGACAGCCACTGTCCTGCAGAGTGTTGTTCCAACCAGCTGCAAAACACCTGCCCGTTCTAGTAATCCTGAAGATCTTGATTAGCTCTAAACGGTTATGGTCGAAACAAAAAGTTTTATTATTATTATTATTGTTGTTGATTTATTATTATTATTATTCTGGTTTTAAATACATTTTAACAATTACTCAATAATGCCATGTTAAGGTCTTACTAAAATTGAAACATATGTGACTATTGGTTTGAAACCATACTATGTTCTCGTTTATTGAAGTGAATGCTACATTTGCCAACATTTAATAATAAATATTTAATACAATATTTTTGTTGTATAGAACATAGAAGCATGAGATTGGACCCAAACATAGATGAATATCTCTGAACATGTTAATAGCCTTCAAAATAACTGATACAGGGTTTTTTGTTTTTTTTAATAATGTAAATCTGCAGATAATATATTTTTTAAAAGTCGATTTTTTTTATTTTATGTGAATTTTACTTTTCAGTTTTATTCTAGGTTAAAATAGTCTTAAATGTCCTGAAATAAACATCTGGTCTGACCAAGGTGATCTGATACTTGTATGTGTGATTTTTTTTGTTACATTTTTATTTGTTTGAACGTTTCCTGTGAACCAAATCGTGCCATTTTTCACTTTTTAGCGAAAAAGTTGTAGGGCTTGGAATGTAAAATATCTCTGGTAGCCATCTGCTCCTCTCTCACTTTACATTATAAACAAATATAGGTTGGTCTTTAAATGTGTGGTGTAATAATGTAAAATTACATTACACTGACTTTCCATGGTTTACTCTTTCTGGTCACTTAAAAATAAATGAATGAATCAATTAATCAATGAATAGTGTGTAGTTTGGGTGGGAAAGTGAATATAATTGCCAGAATTTTCAAATTCTGACAAATAAACTTTCAACACTAACATAAAAAAAAATTTGGGGAAAGTAATTATAATTAAATTAAATATGAATTAATAATTGTATTATAATTGAAATGGCTATTATAATCTATATTTTAAAAACAGAATTAAAGCTAGTCAGTCTGTTTGTGGGAATGAGGTGCTGTCTCTTTAAGAGGGCAGATCCTGCCTTTTGCCTCTCATCTCTGAACCTGCTCAGATCCGCTCGGATCATTTGACTCCAGTCCAGCGGAACCGAGCCCGACCCGAGACCCTGAACACGGACGCACGTGAGGAGTTATACGGCAAACCCCTTCTGATCTGATCTTTGGAGCTTCCGATGAATTTAAACGTGAATGCAGGCGTGTTTTTAATGAAGGCGGTGTTTATGGTTGTTCTTTTTTGAAATATTGCTCCTGAAACCTGTAAGATCACGCGTGTCTAAAGGATTTTTTTTTTCTTGAGAAAAACATCGATTCATTTACAACGATGCTCGTGGATTTGTATGTCACGCATATTTTAGGAAATATTAATACACGCATGACTGCGAAGCTATCGGTAAGAGAGGCGTTAATAAAGGTGAAGGTTTGAAAATTAATTTGTCAGGAATACAAATCATACTCTTCCATTTTAAAAGGATCACGTAAATATTTATATAATCTAATACATTAATCTGTTGTTATATTGCGTTTTTCTGGGATTGAATATAGCACTATGTTAGATCTGTGTTGAATATTTAACCCTAAGACTGTTCCTCTGTGAGAGTCATGATGGCAACACATTGTCCTAATGATGACCTGAGCAAGATCTCCGATGATGAACTGGTCAGATGGAGCAAAGAGGACTTGATCAAGAGACTGAGAAGGGCTGACAGTGAGAAGATGAACCTAATGCTGGAGCATGGGAACATGATGAAGGACGTCAACCGCAGTCTGCAGGTGCACCTCCATGAGATCCGTAATCTAAAGGAGATCAACCAGAAACTGCAAGACGATACCCAGGAGCTCAGGGAGCTCTGCTGCTTTCTCGATGATGATCGGCAGAAAGGTAAGAAGCTGTCTCGGGAATGGCAGAGGTTTGGGAGGTATACGGCCAGCTCCGTGTGGAAGGAGGTGAGCACCTATCAGCAGAAACTCAAGGAGCTGGAAGGCAACCAGGAAAACGTCCTCCGGGAGAATGCAGAACTAAAGGAGATCATCCTCATGTTGGATGAAGATAGGAATGGCGCCGGATCTAGGAGCTCTATAGACAGCCAGTCCAGTCTGAGCAACCTGAATGGAGGTTCGAGCATTGTCAGAGATGTTGGCGATGGGAGCAGTACCTCCAGCGGTGGAAGTGCTGGCAGCCCAGACCATCATCATAATCATATACACAAGACTGTAGAAACCAAGATTGGCACAATAAGACGCTCTATGGATGATCTCTCGGCTCCACGTCATCACAGGAGCATCCCCAATGGACTCAATGGTGAGTATAGATGACCGTTTTTGCCGCCGTCATTGTTTAAAACTGGAAACGTTTTAAACTTCAAAATTGGAGTTTTGTGGCTTTTAATGCGTTTCTTTACGTTTTAAGGGCATGCATATATTAGTACGCTCTTAAAAAGTTGACTAAAATAATTTGTATCAGATATACACATTTAAAGAGATAGCTCACCCCAAAAAAAATAAAATAAATTGCTGTTAATGTACTCACTCTCAGGCCATCCAAGATATAGGTGACTATTTTCTTCAGTAGAACAGCAAAGAAGATTTTTAGCTGAACGGTCCTTAATGATTCATAAAATGCAAGTCAGTGGCTGCCGTCACTTTGAGAGTCAAAAAAGCATATTAGACAACATAAAATTACTGGTTCAGATAACTGATTGACCAGTTTTGTTTACATAACCGTATAATAAGATAACATATATGCAATTATATTATTAAAACACCCAATAATTATGTGAAACGTGGGTGTTTTACAATGTCTAAAGCGTATAAAATGAATAAGCTAGTCTTAAACAACTCTCCTTTTTACAAAAATCTTGAGAAACCATAACTTTCATTTCGCCCCTTCATTCAAGTATTGGTTCACATACTCGTATCAGCAGCTCATCAGTAACTGGAGCGCTGAAAGAGTTGAAAGGATAATATGCCAGTATCTTGGCTTTTTTAGAGTCGGAGTGACTGTCGAACACGTCCGAAAGTGAGTTTTGATTTGAGTAACTTGTAGATCTCTGCTGCTCGAGCTACGAACTGTTTCAGATGGTTCAGTCCGATTTGGTGAACTAGTTCATTCAGTTTACTAAAAAGAACCAGTTCAAATGAATGGTTCATTCACGAACCGGACATCATTTCTTGCACAGACCGATCGTTTCGCTTCATAAGACTTGAATATATCATTAGGAGCCGCAGGTATTAATTGTGTATTGCCTGATATGCTATTTTTGGCTCTCAAAGTGACAGTAGCCGTTGGCTTTTTGTGACATTTTATTAATCACCATGGTTTCAGCTAAAAATCAGCTTTACTGTGCTGTGTGAAATCTGTTTTATTATCCATTTCATGGGGTTTTTAACAGAATTGCTCGTCATCAGTCTACTAATCGTTCATATGTTTGAGATTGGAGGTTTAAGCAGTTTTAAGATGCTCCAGTGAAACCACAGTTAATAACACTTAGAACAGCGAAATGGAAGTCTTGATTTCAAAGAGTTATTTAATTAATGCTAAGATTATAAGGGTAATCATTTTCGTATGTTTTCGTTTTAAGTTCTGTACATGATATGAAACTCAAAGAGCAAACTTGCAAAACAGCTTAGGTGAACTATGTACAAATGCAAATTATTATATTAATTGTATATACTTAACAGGTAACAGTAAACGTAAGAGTTTAGGTCTTACAGTATTACTGAAGATGCAGCTAATTACCCTAGTTGTAATTACCTAAATCACCTCAGATCAATAAAACAACAGTATTGCATGTCAATGTGGCCTTTGAGTGAAGGTCCCATGTTAATTGCTTTTACAAGTAAATCGTGTGAATGGATTTTGGATTTGCTGATGGTCTTTGTTTCTGCTGTGGAAGGGCTCATAAAAAGAAATCAGTGAATTCACCCTGTTCAAGCCATAAACACCCACATCAGCTGACTGTTTGATAACTAATGAAATGACATGTTAAGCCTGGCTTTAGCCGCACTTCAGCAGCACCAGGATTTCAGATGAAAGGACAGTATTGTGCTGCACACGGGCTCTCCTTGACTCTCAGACAACTGAAGATGCTTCCTGATGGGTTTGCTAGTTTTTGTCTTCGCAGTTGCGCAGTTTTAATATAGTATATATATGGCAATTGACAATGGTTTGAAAGCTTGTAATTTATAAAGAGTGACCTTAAACAGTGTTTAAAACATCAGCGATATTTATATATATATATGCATTATTTATTTGATTGATTGATTGCTATTATTAAGACTATTCGTTTTTTTGCATTGTAAAAATTAAGCAGATTTCCCCCAAATTTTCATCACCACAATGATAAATATAATTTTTTTTATATTTATACTTTAGGTATTTATACTTTCTATTATTTATTCTGTTGCACTTAAGACAGAACGTAGCTAGCATGTTGTAAGCTCTTGACATGTAACCATTTTAAGTTTAATGGTGCAACACAAAAATATCTAGTGTAAAAGTTATAAGTGCATGAGTTGTAACGTTGCTCCTTTACATTGTTACAGTTACGTTGTAACTTACGCACACTAATACAAAATTTGATGTAGAAACAATTTTCACTCGGCTAATAGCACATTAAATTAAATGTGAAATAGTATTTGCTTGTAAAACATGGTACAAAAATCTCAACCCAAGGCCAAAAATGATGATGGATGGATGGATGGATAGATAGATAGAAGGTGATAAGTGAGTAAAGTGGGACCTGCGGAGGTTTTTGCTGGAGACAACGGCTAGTGGTAAGGCAAACCGATTGGATGGGTTGGAGAGTGTGTGTGTGACTATGAGGTCCCCTGCTCTCTTTCCTCCTTAAGGGGTCTCATCAATCAGTCGAGCCGTTGGCCGTCCCAATGCACAGATGGTGCTGCGGTAATCATCAGAGACAGGTTCATATTTCATCGCAGTGTTCGATCCCAAGATGTGTTGCACAACTGCTCACAACTCTGTGGTTTCAAGAGTTGAACCTTAACACAGACAGGAAGTAGTGCTACATTGCTAGCATATTCTTACACTGGTTTCTGTGGGCTACATATCTGCAGTGATCTACATTTTGATTGTAATTCAAAAGTAAAACAAGATTCAACATGTGTTCTATTGATCTTTGTGCATATAAATCATATTTTATATGGTTTCAAATCCCCTCTCTCTCGCTCATATGTTCTACAGCGATGTGGCCCCTGTCTTTGTGTCGGTCAACCTGGACTTTTGTCAGTTTGGAAATCTTTAAATAATAGAGTGCTCCATTTTTAATTCTAAAATCCAGATGAGAATTGGTATTTCTGAACCATGGAGTCGAAATTAAATAATAAAATAGGTCTGTGGTTATCCTTTGGTTTTGAAACAGTCCCCAAACATGAATATTTGAAACCATTGTTTTGTTTAAAACATAATTTCTAAGCTTACATAAGGACTACAAATATCAAAGAAGTTTATGTACTTGACAAATTTGACAAATTAGTTGTAGGGATTATATTTTATGAAAAAAATAGAACCGTGAGATTATAAATTTTGGACCATAAGGGAACATGTATTAGGAAAGTAATTGTTTCTACTGAGTTTATGTTGATGTTTGTGATCAATGGTTGTGAAAACATGCCTAAGCCTAACCTTGCCTAAAATGCCTAAAATTTTACCATGATAACTATAGTTTTCATCAAAATATCAGTTATTGGAATTTCTGTTGCCCTTTCCCCTTTTCTGTTTATTAACTTGATTTATTTAATAATAACTTGATTTAATTAATAACATTTTATTTAATTATTTTCTTGTCTATTTTTATTGTTCTAATGTTATAGGCATATACTTGTTTTTTCTGGGTTGTTTAATTCATTGTTATTGTAAATTATCTATTTTAAGCCATTTCAAAATGTTAATAAATATAATGTTTAAAAAAAAAAGTTACTACAGTTATTGGCAGGGCGTGGGGGGGGGGGACTATGGGTGCTTTGTACCCATATATTTCGATATGAGCATAAAACAAAAAGACAGACCAAAGGTAGGAAATGGCAATGAGATGATGCTCATAGGGGGTATTATCTGGCCATGGGGGGTCCATCCGTCAATGAAGACAGACAATCTTGTTGTGTCTAGCCTGTTATTGGGTAACTTCTGAATGGATGTGGGAATCTGAATATCATTGGCTCATAGAATTGCCATGATAACACAATAGTCTTGGTCTCAAATCTGATTTCAGTTTAGAATTCACCAAAATTGAACCTGAACAGCAAGTAATTACCAGTGGATGACTGCATCTCTTAAATACCTAATGGTGTCCTACAACTTTAGAAATACTATTAGGGATGTACAAATAATCAAAAGCAAATATCCTGGTGTGGTTATAAAAATTCAAAATCTCAAAATAACTCAATGATTAATTATCCAAATGTTTATTATATTGCAGTTAAAATGCAGCTCTAGCAGCAATTTGGCAGTTAAGGAAATGGCAATGAGATGATGCTCATAGGGGGTATTATCTGGCCATGGGGGGTCCATCCGTAAATGAAGACAGACAATCTTGTTGTGTCTAGCCTGTTATTGGGTAACTTCTGAATGGATGTGGGAATCTGAATATCATTGGCTCATGGAATTGCCATGATAACACAATAGTCTTGGTCTCAAATCTGATTTCAGTTTAGAATTCACCAAAATTGAACATGAACAGCAAGTAATTACCAGTGGATGACTGCATCTCTTAAATACCTAATGGTGTCCTACAACTTTAGAAATACTATTAGGGATGTACAAATAATCAAAAGCAAATATCCTGGTGTGGTTATAAAAATTCAAAATCTCAAAATAACTCAATGATTAATTATCCAAATGTTTATTATATTGCAGTTAAAATGCAGCTCTAGCAGCAATTTGGCAGTTATCTGAGTCAATGTGTTATGACTAATGCTTGGTATTTTGGTTTATCCTCATAGGTTTGGTTTAATCCTAACAGGTGAAATTTGGCAAGTTTTATGTGGCATATGCCACATGATGGACTACTGTGCTAGGTACCCCAACAGAAGGGTCCCAAAAAAGTGGTACGGTATGGTTTGCTAATTTGGTACCATTCACATCTGGAAATGGAAATAATTGCGTACTGTGTTGTACTGAACCGTACCGCTCGGTGGAAACGAGGCTTATCTCTCAGTGGCCGTATGTTGCTGTTGCCTTGAGATACTTCATGAGGGGTGTTTTACCTAGTCTCAGTGAGTAGTAAAATCACTGAACACAGTGTAAGAATGCAATTACCCAATAAGGGTCAAAGTGAACCTGTT